CGCATACAAAAATTTAGATTAAAGATTTTGCATTTCAACCAAAGCTTGGTGGACGTGTTTGGGTCGTCGACTTTGATCAAGACGTGATTGGCTTGAAGGGAAAAAAATTTACATCCGGTGAAACCCAAGAGAGCGAGGTTCAACCGAATAGCTTCATTGGAGGCTTGCCGAGAGAGAGTTTGCCTATGAAGGCATATTTGAGGTCCTCAGATATTTTAGAGACTTTTGAGGGGTAAAAAATAACTTCCGGGATGCTGCCGGATAGAGAAAGAGAGCCGAAGAAGAGGGGCTCGAGTGGGACAATTTTTTGGGCTGTCGAGAGATAGGATTTTGCCAGTCCAAGGCCAACGATTTGGTTTTGGGTTGCTTGTCCAAGGGTTGAACTGGAAGTTTGGGTTTTTATGGGATGAGGTATAAAGTGGGAAGGTTGGGTTTTGGTTTGAGCTTGTTGGGAAGGGCTTGGGGGTGAAAAAAGGCCCAACAGAATTGGACCCAGAAAAATAGAGGGAAATTGGGCTTTGAAAATGCGGGCCCAGAAGAAGAACTTACCGGCCCAAGCAAGAAAGCACAAGGAGATGGTGCGTACGGGACTGGGGCAAGTTGTGTGCTGAGCGCCGCCGCCGACTGACCAAACCAGGAGACAAGAAGTCTCAGTGTTCGTCTTTCATCTCAATTACATATAAAATTTCTTTTTATTTGTCACATAATTTTTTATGTGCATTAATCTCGATTTGTATTTGTAAAATTGATAGTTTTTGCATTAATCTCAATTTATATTTGTAAAGTTGATAAATTGTTAAGCGGACAAATTCTTTTTTATGGTAACAACTTAAAATAAATGATAGTAATTTTTGAAATATTAGGTAGTCAAATCTTCATATGGAAGTAACATCATAATATGGTATCTTATAAATCTTCTCTAAAACAACTTCAGCGTGAGATAATATCTTTATATAGGCTTATATATATTTTAGATAATTAAACAAAATATTCAGACATATTTTTTTTACATATTCTATCTATATGTACATATATATATATATACTCACATATACGTAACACATGTTAAGTTTAATTATTTTTAGACATGTTTTCTTCACAAAATAGTTTAAAAAATCTTACATGCACATCTATACTTATATAAGAAGACATTCCATTTACTAGAATTAATAGTAAGAAAAGTCAAAGGTAATTAATGCATTCTATTTCCATCAAATATTTTATTTAATTATTTTAGTTAATTGTTTTATCTCATAACATCTTTTCAATACAACTTACCATCCGGTGATTTTTGGCTGGGAGATGGCACTCGAAATCATGGTGGTGATTGGAGCAGCGAAGGGAGGTTCCTTTGAGGCTTCAGAGTTCAAACCTGTGTTGACGGAGGCGACGGTAGGCACGGGAAGTTCCTTACCATTCAATTAATCACCAACTATAATCTCTTTTATTTCCATCATCATTCCACAAAACATCTCGTCATTTAAATAATTTTTCATATTTTTGAAGAGTAAAATATACATGACCCCCTGTATTATACAAAATTTGCCATGGTATTTCAAAAATTGCGTCAGACTCTTTTGTATTAACTAGCTGTTGCACGATTCTCCCTCTCCGTCTAGCTTGACGTTGCGTGATGTACACATTCATGTAATGCAAATATTATTCATTTTTTCATACTTTTTTTTTTCTAATTTTAAAATTGAATTTTACTGTTTTGCCCCTTACTTCTCGATCCATTGTAATGCAAAAATTAATGCTTGGCTGTCCTCTTAGGATTTGAACTCAGACCAAAACATTATTAGGCATCCCTTCAAACCACTATACCACCATCAGCCTATGTTACATATCTACCACACATTTATTTAAAACAACACGAACAGAGAAAAACTTAATCAAACAAAAAATAAAATAAAATAATCACAAACTAAAGTAATTATATAAAATAATGATTAAAATAAAATAAAAATTAAATGAAATGAAATTAAATTTGAAATTTAAAAATAATAAATAAATATATTAGTATTTAACATAAATAATTATTTAAATAAATTCAGTATAAATATAAAATAAATTTTGATTTAAAATTTAAATTTGTGTTTTTTAAATTAAGTAATATAATATATAAATAAAATTAAACTAAAATAAATTAAATTTATTTATTTATAATAAAATAAAATGATATTTTATATATAATATATTATTAAAGTAGTAATTTGTAAATAAAATATTTTTATTCAATTTATTTAGTTGTTTATATTCTCTTATATTTTTTTTAATTTTTGACAAATATAAATTCTATTTTTCAATAGAATTATTAATTTTGAATTTGTAATAAATAATTTGTGTACTTATTATTTGTTCAGTTTATTTATTTAAATTTTAAATTCTGGTAAATGTATAGTAATTAAAAAATTCTATTTATAACTAGAAAACTATTAATCAAAATATCAAGTATCATTTGTTATGAGATTTAAATAATACAAATAATTCTTGGTTATTTTATTTTTTTTAAATCTGAATAAATATAAAATTTTATATAATTATTAATCTTATTTACAATATGGAATCTCTTTATTTGGTTATATATTCTTTATAATTTTGAATATATATTGTAACACCCCGCTTTTCCATAAATATCAGAGTGCGATTTTCGCAAGTTCTTTGTA